TGCAGATGCAGTGGAAATTATATATAATATTTCATTAGTGTGTTTTTAATTTAGTATCTACAGTATAATTGAATTGGAACCAGAGGAGCTTATGTAGGTAAAGAAATGAAAATTCCAACTGAACTTGAAAATAATGTTTGAGACAGATATTTATACATGTTTGTATTCAAATTTAATATTGCATTAGCCAGTTGACTAACACGGTTCTCGTGCCAAATTTTTTTAATGATGACGTCAAGGATGCTTTAGTCTGCAAAAATATAACTGCTGGCGAGGAAACGGATGCGATTGAAAATTAAACTGCGGGTTGTTAAATATAATATTGCAAATATCAAAGTCATCAAACATTCATTTCTCATCCTCAAATATTATTAGAATTATCAAATAATCGACCCACCTAGACTCTAAACTGAAACTGAATCACATTACAAAACATGCGACGATAAAACGGAACGTGAATCATGACAGATCATTGTTTATCTTGCTGTCTATATTATCACATTTAGCATTAAATTATTTCTATTCTTATCTTGAGATATTTCTGTTTCTGCAAAGAAGAATTTTACTGTATGGCTGATCTTAGCCCTGCTTTGATATTGTTACTATCTTATCGAGTTCGTTCACTTTTGACATTCAACTTTCATGTCATGATAATTAAGAGTTAACATCTATCTAGTAGGTAATGTCACAATTAGTGGTGACTGAATGAAAATAAAACCACCTTAAAGTTTTTCGTAAACCTCGAGAATCACCTTGAAGCGTATCTATCAAAGTAACGCATATGAGTGTACAGACCTTGATAACAATAATAGGTTCACCTTGATAATGAAAATTAATAGACCTAATCTTTCAATTACGATAAGAATGTGCGTACAGGTCCACGTTCAGTGTGTGATAATGTTGTGTGGTTGGTTTCAGACGCAGATGAGCGGTGATCGCGCCGGCTCGCAGTGCGGTCTGACGTCGCTGCTGCCGATGTCGTGCCGCGGGCGCGCAGCGGCGTTTGCGCGGGACCTCCACTCGCGCCTGCGCAACCTCGGCGGCTCGCACGACGACGACAGCGAGAGCAACTGGCTCGCGCGTGACTCCCCCGCGCAGCAGAAGCTACGCCCAACCACCTCCAACTCCAACTCCCGAGACCACGACACCTTCTACGACTTCGAACTAGAATGCGAGAGCCCCTCCAGCCCAGTCGAAGAATTCGACCCCACTTTCACGGAGCGGTCGCCCACCGATGAACAGGAACCGCCGTTCTACGACGTAGACACCGACCCCGAATGTAACGAACAAACTAAACTCAAGCTTGTCCAACCCGACAAAATTAGAAACGGATTCAAATTCTCCACCGCATTCTTCACTGAGTCACCAGTCAAAATTCAACCGGCACCGCGTGAAAATGGACATGTTGACAAGCCCCTGTATTCGCCCATTACGTTTGAAGGATGCGCACGACAAAATAGTTTGGATGAAGTCGACACTACGGTACGCCCGTCATCGTTATCGGATACGGACCGACTCAATTTGCCGTTAAATTTAAGTTCTGCTATAGACAGTGATTCTGAATTTGAATCAGCTAAAAGCGACCCTTCCGAATGTGCGGATGAAGTCTTCCACAGTGAAAAACCTTTAGAAAACGGCGTTGTGGACTGTGTAGATAATTTATCACTCGAAGAAGTTGTGCCTATCGAGGAAGATGAAGTGTCTACAGAAAATGCGGTAAATACTACAGACACATGCAATGATATTAAAGATCCACTGGAAATTGTGACCAGTGAAGTTTTATGTGAAAAAGAAACGTCTCCCGCGCCTGAAATAGAACCAACATTATTAAATGTAGAAGTCAAAGAGGAGCACGACGATTCTGAAGATGATCGACCCCAAAGAGTACGTCGTTGTTCCTCACTAAAAACTGGTAAAACGCCACCTGGCACGCCCGGCCGCAAAAAAATTGTTCGTTTTGCCGATGTATTGGGTCTAGATCTAGCGGACGTTAAGACTTTTATGGACGAGATCCCCGTGATTCCAAAATCTGCTTATGACGATCTCACAGGTTGCGACGTTCAGAGTTCCCCACCGGTGCGGACTCCGCCACGCTTAGGTGCCCTCACGCTGGTCCCACTGTTCCAGTTACCACGTGATGTCACAGAGAAATTGGAAAATACAAATGTGTGCCTTGAAAGCGCGCGGGTCTGCGACGGGGTTCACGTCACAGTTTGTGGATCAGTGCGAGTGCGCAATTTGGACTTTCATAAAACTGTACACATACGCTATACGATGAATCGTTGGAAAACCTACACCGACTTACAGGCTACATACGTTCAGGGTTCGTGCGACGGATACTCGGATAGGTTTCAGTTCGTGTTGTACGCGCCGTCGATATCCTCGGGTCAGAGGCTCGAGTTGGCGGTGCGGTTCCAGTGCAAAGGGCAGCAGATTTGGGACAATAACAGTGGCGCGAACTACTGCTTCGACTGCTTGGCGCTGGGCGTGAACGCTCAGGCGCCGTCGTCGTCGCCGCCGGGCCCGCTGCACCCGACCGTGGAGTGGCACCCGTCCTTCTACTGACGCCGCTGGGAATCACCGGTGGGGTGAATGCGTCGGATGGATCGGCAGAGGCGACGGCCGCGGCTGAGGCCCGGGACGGGCCCGCGGGCGCCCGCCGCTAGTCACATTCCTGTGCCTGCCCGCGCTCGCAGCGCGGAGTCCTGAGTCATTGAGGCTTAAAGTGGTGAAGCGTTTTTGTGATATAAAGTAGCTTAGGTGTAGATATAATACAACGAGCGAGCGGCTCGTACGGAGTGCCATTTGCAGTAAACGAAGTTTCGAAGTGTAAAATATACATTATATTTTTTCGAGTTTTTGGTTAGTAGCTAACGATAATGTACAACGTCCTGGCGGACAATAAAGTCGTCGCGTGGCGTGGCGCTAGCGTGCACAGTGGTCCGGGCTGAGATTCTGTTCCCTTGTACATAGAATGAGAGTATGAATTCTGAATGATATTAATATTTTAATACAATTTTACAAACTATTAGTCTTATGTAATAGTCTATGTATGTCAAATTATGTGCGCAAGCATCACCTCTGTAGCTAGAGATTTTATTCACATTAGCGTCTTTATGGATTGTATATAAATAATGTTAAGAACACTTATTTGTAAAGACACAATATCATGCATCACTTGTTAGATTGTTATAATGTTTCGTAAATTGTTAATGTAAGTGGACCTGTCTTAGAGTCAGGGAAGCAATATATTATGAAGTAAACGAAACCCCCCATACGAATGTTTTATGAAAACATATTACTTACGTGGAAAATGTCTAACTACTGTTTATATTTTCTATGTATAATGATGTTATTTGCCTATTTATATTTTATATTTTTATATATGAACTTGAATACATGACATATTTCCTAATTAAGAACTGATAAATGGTAATTATTGTTGTTTGGTTTCGAGATTTTTATCAACAAGACTATTTAGAGATTACGAAATTAAATTATTGTTAGATGTACTTTAAGCAATATTACAATATTATTTATTTATTAGGCCGGTTTTTCTATAGTGTATGTACCTGAATTCTTAAAATGTGGCCATATTAATTTTATATGAAATGATCCGCGAGAGCGCTGTCCTACTGAACTATAATAATATTATTGTTACAATGACTTCTGTTTTATTGAATAACTACCTACCTAATAAATTAATATGCATAATTTTAATCTTGGTCTTTTATTTTTAAAATAAACTATCAAACGACGAGCTTTTTATTATAGAAGCTTTAGAAGATAGATCTTAATAAAACTTCACTATTAGCTTCAATTACTTATCAATTTATTCATAAGGCGAAATATATCACAATTATTGGATGATATCGAAATAAATATAATCTTAACTTTACGTATAGTCACGCTTACAAATGTACTTTAAATAAGTATAAACAAAACAATGTTTATGAAAGTAGTTTTATCGACAGGTCTCACCTTACCGTAGATAAAAGTGGAAAGCGTTAATAAAGAAAGTAAATAAAGTAATTTTATCTTACTTATTTTGTCACCTAACAAATTGATACCTAACTCTTAGCCTGAATTATTTGTTTACATACAACAATTAATTACAACAGCATGGCTTAAACATAAAGATCAACCAATTTAATAAAAAAGTAAAAGAATAAAATAATGTACTTAGGCGATTAACTTAAAAGTATTATATACAAAAAGCTTAAAGCTTATTCCTAATTATGCTTGAGAACAATAAATAATTAAATGTGCGATTTCAGCACGATTTGTGATATTTCAGGCAGTCATATTATCAATATTTTAACTTAACTTGTGGTGTTCTTTGTGGATAGTCAAAACACTTTGTGGATAGGTAAAAACAAATGCTAATTCAATAAGTACGTTCCATGATCACACATTTAAGATGAGATCGGTGTAATTATCAACGCCAATCTATTTAAAGGAAAATTATTAAACTTATATTGTATTTAAATGGGTCTGGAAAAGCTGTCACCCATACCTTCAGGCTTTCAGGGTAACTTTTTATGACCCGAAGTTGCGTAAGTATTTGCAAAACGAGGAAAATTTATTCCCAAAGTTATTTTACACGTAGTAGTACGTTTAATTTATCGCACTACGCAGTGTCTGGACTTTAATTTAGGACATTCCACAGTCCTTCAGACGACCTTTCAGTATATTTTTCCGGCGTTTTTTTGCTACAGGCCGTTTGGTATTATCGTAACTACGTTAACATAATAAGAAGACGAAATACTTTTTATATTACATAATTGGAAATTACGTAGGTAATTGGAAATTACTTTAATACGAGTATAACAACTTTTCAGGAGCATGCAGCTAAATGAAAGGTGAAAATTATGAGGGTAAATAATGTGATTCTGTAAACATATTCTACGATGAAGTTTTTTTAATTTACCCTTTAAGCCCAGAATTATTTTTTTTCGGGTCAAAAACGACCCACTGGGCATATATGGGCTAGAGTCTTATAATTATGATGATGATGATGATGATGATGATGATGATGATGATGATGATGATGATGATGATGATGATGATGATGATAATGATGATGATAGCTACCACTGTGTCCTAAAGGATCGCATTAGGACGCACTTTTTTACAAACTGACCATCGTGAACTTACACTGTCCACGATACACTAAAAGCAGGAAGACGTAGTCTTTTTAGAATACTTTCACACTAACTTAACTAACTGTCTGTGGGTCTCACTTCTGCGGTCTCCTAAATATCCTTTGGGCTCTTCGTCTCCTCGCGGTCCTGGTGGTAGGGGGTGTGATGGAAGGGTCCCTTAGGGCCCGCAGTTGCATGTGCAGTCTTTGCTTGCAGAACTCATAGAATTCTATCTCTCTAGTGAAGTTAGCGCGGACGATTTGTTTTACAGCCTCGGAGACGGGCGGCTTGAACGCGTTGCGGTTGATGCGGTTGAATGTGTTCAGCTCCTCTGTGGATGAGAATTGTGGTTTGGTTAGAAAATTAGTGACATGAAAGTACTAATTAAATAGTTCTTTTTTAATATTGACTGGTAGGGCCATTTTAACTGGTGGGGAAAAAAAGAAAGAGACATGTATAGGATCCTTTTATGAACATTTGACGATTTGTAAGTACTAATTTAATTAGTCTATACGTCTATACAGATAAAGATAATTTAGATTTTTGACAACTTTATCTACAACATTTGTGAATCGTGTAAAATGGGCTAAGTTTTGCACAGGAAGAGAAATAGGCTTTTTTTGCCCTTGCGGCTATCATTGCTAATTTGTGGTAAAATGTGTATCATTATAATACATAATATTATTGATGACGAAGTTAAGGAAAGACAAATACAGTAGAACGCCGATTATCCGAATTAATTGGGACCGGGGTCGATTCGGATAATCGAAAATTCGGATAATCGGACATAGACTGGTAATAAAGAAAAAGCATGTTAAAAACGAACTGTCACACATAGAATAAACTTTAATAACTGTGTTTACAGTTCTACAAGTCGCTCAGTTGAAATATATCTAGACTCCTGCGAGTTCCAACTTGTTACACCAATAGAAAACAAAAAATACTTGGGTTTTAATTTTTTATATTAAGCTTAGGACCGATTCGGATAATTGGCGATTCGGTTAATCGGCGTTCGGATAATCGGCGTCCTACTGTAACTATTTTCGATCGATAATTCCGCGAAAAGCTGATTGTGAACCGGCCATTTTCTTATGACAGTAGAACATTGGTAATAGTTTTGATAATAGGTAATTTCCCTCACACTTGGAAATGATAAAAGACACATCGTCGACTTCGAATCGTTGACGAAACCAGTATATTATAGGTCTAGTGCTTAACTCAGTCAGTGTCTGATGTATGGGAGCGGCACGGGAGGGGTGACACTGACATATTATGACTTACAAATCTGAAGCATACCTGAAGTCTCGCTGACGTTTGACGTCTCAAAAACACCGTCCCGTGCTGCTTCCATACCTCAGGCACTGACTGAGTTAAGCGCTAGACCTAAGCTATAATATTCGTTTCGTCAACGACTCGAATTCGACATTATGTAGTGTAGAACCCTATTATTTTTTTAGAGTATCGATTGATATCTTGTCCTTTACCATTTCCAAGTGTGAGGGAATTAGTCAGCCGTTTGTTGTAGTGGTTTAGAACGAACTACTATGCCGAGAGTTGCCGGGTTCGATTCCCGGCCGGGTAAAAGTTAAGCGCAAGACCTATACTAATAATTTTGGGCTTTATAATGGCAGTCCTTACCCCAATACAAGCGCAGTGCCCCTTGGAAGAACCGCGGGATGTATCTTTCCAACGCAAGCAGTGTTGAGTTCATGTCTTCTAGCACTCCCACCACCGCATACTGCTGCTCCACCACTCGCTTGGCGCGCTGGAGAGCTTCCACGCTGTTGAATGGCCTGTAACGAAACAAATGATGAACGGTAACAAATGTCGGCCGTTTGGTCTAGTGGTTCGAAACGGACAACTATTCCGAAGGTAGCGGGTTCGATTCCCGCACAGTACAAACATTTGTGTGCATGAACATATTTGTTTGTATTGGACTGGGTGTTTCCTATGTATTATAAGTATGTATTTACAAAAAAAAAGTATTTAAGTATGTTTATATCCGTTGTCTAGTACCCATAGTACAAGCTTTGCTTAGTTTGGGACTATAAGCGCAGTGTAAAATGTCCAAGGATATTTATTTATTTATTAAATGAAATCAGTCATGTAACAAAACAAATGATGAACGATAATAAATGAAATCAGCCCTCCTAGATAAAGTTGCAAACCTGATAGTTTAGTCATTCCAAAATACGCTTTCGTTCCGGCGCTTTTTTATGTGTTATGTACTTCGCTTCAAGTGTCCGTAAAATCAAGTGGCAGTGGGCGGGGCATATAGCTTGCAGAACTGATGGCTGCTGGGACAGAAAAGTTTTCGAATGGCGACCACGAGCCGGAAGACGTAGTGTGGGCAGGCCTCCCACTAGGTGGACCGACGATCTGGTGAGGGTCATGGGAGTAGTTTGGACGCGGGCGGCGCAGGACCGGTCTTTGTGGAAATCCTTGAGGGGCTTTTGTCTAGCAGTGGACGTCATTCGGCTGAAACGAAGGAACTTCGCTTCATGAAGCGATTTGGAAATAAAAATAACACGAATGTTACTGAAATGTTGTGTCAGTGAAATATTTCAAAATAATGATCAATCAAAGGACACTACAGTATCTAATTTGGCCCTAGGATTAACTAGAGGAGAATGCCAAATGGCATTCAGTAGCATTCAGTGTTTATGTAAGTCGTAAGTATATGAATGAACATAATTATAAGTTTTAATTAAAATAAATAAATCTATGACTGATACTGAGTTTTGAGCGTTGTTTTGTCTACCTTAATGTCCAAGTACAATCCGGATCGTGAAGTCATCTCAAGTAGGTAGGTAATTAAAAAAAGATCTTTTACAGGTACCTGTTTAAATTTATAAGTCCACTATTGCCTATCGCAGCAACCTATCTTAGATTAAGTTTAATAGGTTGTAAATATTTTTTTCTTTTAGTATTGTCTTGTTGGTTGTTGGTTGTCCTATTAAATAAATAAAAAAAACCTATCAGCTATGTCAATAAAATTGTGCCTTTAGGTAATTAGGTACCTAATTAAAAACTACTTAAAACCGTATTAAGTAGTTTTTAATTACCTACGTGTAACATAACATGCATATTATTATCAATTTGCATAGATATTTTTTGCTCTCTTGCACTCTCGGGCATGAAGGACAATGTGATAACTGCTAAGGTCAAATTAGTACTTTCTGGCATAAAACAGTAGGTAATACGCTTTCTTTTATTAATCGACGGTTTCTGATGCCATTGTCTTCTACTAATACTATTTCTACTGAAATTTTCTAAGAAAATTAGGCCTACTTACTTTTTAATCTGTACTTAGTTAGTCATAAGTAGTATTTTAAAAACATCATAAAAGTTAAATTTCAACATAGGTTTGACCTACTTTTAATCTTGTGGTTTAGTATTGGCTCGAATTTATCACTTGTAGGATAAGATTCCATGTCATGTGAATCTTTGCTTGTTTTAGTTTATCAGGTACTCGCGCAAAGTATCGTCAGTTTAATCATCTTATTGTAAATACCTATTATGAGACACAGTTTTCATTTCCGGGAAAAATATAACCTATTACTAAAAGGAAATATCATCATGAAAAGGGGATTTTTAACTTTTTTGCTGCTTTGTAACTAGACAGACTGATTGAGGATCTCTTAGTTCTTCGCCTTATGATTAATGTGGTGTTAAAGACTAATACCTTTATTCATAATAAGGCGAACAGCATAATAAACCTATTTTAACTATTGCACTGTTTAGTCACTTTCTATCAAATTATGATGACAGCGCCAAGTAGGAACGATAGGAACGGAGGAATAAGCTGTTTGCATTGTTATGAATAATGGTATAAATAAATAAATTACAGTGTTGACTGAGTTTTGCGGCGCTTCTTCTCAGCACTTGCAAAATGTTTGTCTCAAATTGGTAGGGCAAAAAAGGAACGAGATATGTAAAAGGTCCTTAACTAATTAGTTAAATTAATTCTGAAAAATGCTAAGGAAAGAACCTAGGTAATCTGGGGGCACGGCAGTGCCCCCACCAAGTCGAGCAAAAAAGCGGCACGGCCGTACCATCCTTTTCTCGAAGCAATTCAGGCCATTTTCGACTGCCTGTAACTTCGTTGTGGATAAAACTAGAAGGCTGAATTTTCATTAGCTATGCAGGCATTGTAAAGACACGGTATATTTAAAATTTCATTCAATTTGAACCAGTGGTTTAAGAATTATAACGGGTCAAAGTTACTTAATTTTGTCACTCACTGACTCACTGACTCACCGATCATCAAAACTCTAAGGCACTTCTAGCAGACCTAGAAGCTTCAAATTTGGAATATAAGTAGTGTTTGGTGTATGTGTTATAGTCAAACCTCGAAGCTCAGGCGCTCCTAGGTTTGACTAGTCAATCCTCAGGTCTGACTAGAAGTCTTAGTCAAAGCCCAAACATTTCGGCCTTTGACTAAAGAATGTTAGTCAAACCTAGGAGAGACTAATTTGGTCAGTCAAACGTCGAAACTGAATTTAATGAAATCGGGGTTTGACCAGTCAAACCTCAATTAAGACTTTAAACTAAACTACACTTCATTTTGATAATGAACTTATTACATAGACTTTACCGACCGGTTCTCTCTTTAGGTGAAGGTACGAGTACGAATAACTAAACTTGTTTACTGCGGTAGTTTATCAGTGTTTCTAAACCGATCTTGAAATTATTATTTTTAGGGTTCTGTGCCTTAAAGGATTAAGGGTAAAAACGGAACCCTATTACTATGACTTCACTGTTTGTCTGTCACCAGGCTGTATCTCATGCCTTTCCCAAAATATTTAGTTGTATAGTCACTTTAAAGATAAGATAAGATAAGATAAGATAATCATTTATTGTCTTTTCTGTGTAAGTACATTGGTTGTTAAAAATAATACATGCATGTCAAGGTATCAACAGAATTGTCCATTTCGGACGTACAATATTTGGTAGTATATATTATTACATTAATTGGATTTAATATCATTTACATGTCAATTTTACAGTTGTTTAATTGTCATTTAAATTATTAATTGATTTCGGACGTATAATATTATAGTAATCATAAATTATTACATTAATTGGATTTCATTTCATTTACATGTCAATTTTACAGTAGTTTACTTGTCATTCTTGTCATTAAAATATTCATTGAGGTCATAAAAACATTTGGCTAGTAGCCAGTCCTTGAGCGTTCTTTTAAATTTAGGGCCCTCTAAAGATTTTATAAAAACGGGTAGCTTATTAAACACTTTGATGCCCATTGCAAATACACTTTTACTAAGGATATAACTCTAGGAATTCACTATACACATGTCATACTTATGCTGAAGTCTTAAATTATGTTTCATCTCATTTTTTCTACGGAAATGCTCAGAATGATTCTTTACAAATAAACTTGTTTCTAGAATGTAAATACAAGTAAGAGTTAGAAATTTATGATAATTAAAAATATCTCTTAATGAGTCAAATCTATTTATTTTATAAATGGTCCGCAAACATTTCTTCTGAAGAATGAAAGTGGAGCTAATGTTAACGGAGTTGCCCCAAAATATTATGCCGTATGTCAGAATAGGATAGACATATCCGTAGTATGCAGTTTAAAAATCATCCCCATTCGCCATATAACAATAAAAGAGTCGTACGGAACCCTTCGTACGTGAATCCGATTCGAACTTGGTCGGTTTTATATAACTGCTGCCGGCCTCTGTAAGTGCCTTTTCACACGTTCCGGTTGCTGGCTATCCGGCGCCGGGTACCCGGTGGTGAAGTGTATGGGCATGGTACCACAGTGTTTTATTTTGGCTTAGAAGCGGACATCCCTGTTTTATTAATTCAATCGTTAGATATTACTATTATGTATACAATTGATGAAGGAACTAGTAGTTGTATTTGTTTAGTTTCGAAGAAATATTCGATTTTGTGATTTTATAAAAAAAACTGTTTTAGAAGCATATTTTCTAAAAAAATTACATTAAGTCAGAATTTTGTAAATAAATTTACCTATCACTATAACGTCTACCTTTATGTAAAAATAAATGGTTATTGCTGCAGTAATTTAGGAATTATTTAATAATTTATGATTTTCAGAAAACATTTTTTTCTCTGTTGTCCTAGAAAAATGGCAGCTAGACTTACTTTATATTGATGCATGATATAATTATCTATAATACCTGAAAATATTACTTGCCTATCCCGTGGAAGTTCGAAAGTGCCTTTTCACACGTTCCGGTTGCTGGCTATCCGGCGCCGGGTACCCGGTGGTGAAGTGTATGGGCATGGTACGGAGCTTTCACATGTTCCGGCGTAAATTAATCCGGCAGGCGGTCGCCGGGTGCGCGCCGGATCCACCACTGTACGTCCGGTCGCCGGGCACCGGTTAGCCGGCGGCCGAACTGACAGTGGTGTATGGAACACGCAACTAGCTTTCACACGCGCCGGCCGGTCAGTCGTCCAGGTACAGTCTGCGAGAGTTGCAGTTTCTCATTTTTGTATCCTGACATTGCAAAGAGTTCTTCAAACGGTTATGTAATTCATCAAAAGTAGTTTACTTGAAAAACCTGTCTTCATGTGCTCGTAGATCTGGGAATAATGCACCTAATGCTTCTCTTTTCGCACCTAATGCTTCTCTTTTCATATTAATTGCATGAACCCAATAATTTCTTGATATTTCTTTCCGGCGCAGATATTTTCGTCTTCGATATTTTTTTTTTTATTCATAACAAGGCAGGTATTTGATCAAAATCGCACCTGATGTTAAGTGGGATGCAGTCTAGGATATAAAAGCCACATTGCAATTATTTGTTCACGGTCCATCTTTGAAAGTATGAAATGAACGAGACTGTACTCTTGTCGGCTCTCTAGTCGATCAACCGGAGCGTGTGAAAGCTCATTTGACGCCGGGTAGCCGGCGCAGGTTATCCGGCAACCGGAACGTGTGAAAAGGCACTAACGCTGCGTCTACTTTTGACCGAGTCTGCCAGTCGTTTCTAGGATTGACTAGGCAAAGCCCGAAACAGATTATTTTAGTTTCGACGTTTGACTGAACAGTTTAGGCACTTCTAGGTTTGACTTAGTCAAAGGCCGAAATAAGAATTCACTTCGAGGTTGGCCCGAAGTCTTTGGTCAAACCTAGGATAGACCAGTCATTCCGCGAAGAGACTGCATATCGACCTTTGACTATGACATATGAATCAAGGAAAAACTTAAATATTTGGGGGCACGGTAGTGCAACCGCCAAGTCGAGTAAAATTTTTCAATTTCGGTCCAGTTTTCTAGATACATAACTGCTGTCTACAAAATACAAAAAGAAATGAGATCCCATCAAAAACAATACTTGTCAAAAAAACCAAGTCTCGCAACTCAGTTGTTCTACGGTAAAAAGTTGTGAGATCCATGTAATACCAAGTCCAGGCCAGGAAATCTTTAACGTTTTACATAAATATATTGACTTGGCCATCGCATGAAAACACGTGTAAATTAAATTATTTAGTGCGATGGCCAAGTCAATATATTTATGTAAAACGTTAAAGATTTCCTGGCCTGGACTTGGTATTACATGGATCTCACAACTTTTTACCGTAGAACAACTGAGTTGCGAGACTTGGTTTTTTTGACAAGTATTGTTTTTGATGGGTTACCTAGTCTAAAGAAATAAAGATATTTTTTATTATTTTTACTTCATTTGACAGATTAATAAATATATTGCTTTAAAGTTTCATAGTCACTAACAGAATAATTTTATTGACGGGATTGCTACCATGTACCTTAATTATGAAAGTGCAACAGTGCCGAAATATGGGAGGCTCATAAATAAGGAATTGCTATCCCGTCAATAATAATTAGATTGATAAAGTAATACTCACGTGCACTGAGGCTCGTGTCCACAGAAGAACAGCGTCTGGCGTCGGTGGTCCCCGATTCCCTCGTGCGTCTCGCCCTCAATGTACCGGCACTCGCGGTCACCACTCAGCACACAGGTCTCGAAGTCCTGATAGGGAGAAGATAATTTCATTTTATTACATGTTTTAAATAATGAATCAAGTCTCCAGACTAAACATTTTAACGATCAAAGTAAGTATTATGTAAGTATATAGATTTTAATTTTCTAATGCAATTTAATTAAAACGTGAAGCCAAAACTACTAAACCTGCTTCAAATCCTTGTAGCTGTAGCACCTTCATAAAATATTATGTGACCTTACTTTCTTTTGTGGACCCTCTGTGGATTACGAAGTACCAAGATTCAGTGCTGTGGTTGGCACTATAAACTACTGTTATCTTCAAATGGTCAGTGAATGGACTCAAACTGTTTACCACAAAACGTCGTTTAATGTCAAAGACCTCCATCCATTGTTGTTACTTATTTATTAACCATAATCGGTCCAATTATCCCATTTGCATGTTAACTTGCATTAGATGCAAATGATGTGGAAACTCATTTGTTAGTGCCAGTTAAGAAAACTCATTCGCGCAGAAAACTTTTTATCACAATGAAATGAAAGTACAAAGTTACAATATTAATATCCCCTTTGTCTCCTGTACCTACTTGCGAATCTATTGTCTCCTTTATGTAATTTGAATAAGATCTCCGCCTGAGATTGGACGACGCCATTCTTGTCTCAAAGAAGGCTATAAAACTTTCAAGTGTTTGCCTTTGCCCTTAACTTTAATAGAATATTCCCTCGGAATAGCCCATTCGAGTCCAGATTGTTCCGTAGATAAGTTTAAGTGCTTTAAACAGCAATATCTTCATCAAACAACGTTAAAATGAAACATGTAAATAGTCTATTTCGCTTTACTGCTTACTTAATTGCTTTTAACCCATTCTAGTTTTTTAGAAAAACAAATGATTTCCTCTAAAATATTTTGGATTCAGGTTCACTTACTCGTTGAATCGACTATTATAGGCGGGTAAATTAATAACAAGAGGGTGCAATAGGAGGCGTGGAGGTCTCCGCACAACATGTCGTGTACCTACAGTCCTACACGATACAGGTATAAAGTTCATTATAAAAATGTTCGGAAGATGGCGCATCGAGCTAAACATTGCAGCATCTTATGCAAGTTGTAATAGATGCTATTTTATTACAAGCTGTAGTCTGGTGCGCTGCCGACTCTACCATGCGCCTGAGCACGGCAATACAAGTAAAAATATTGCGGTGATTGCGGTTTCGCAGCACAGAACCACAAAGCTCATGTCTGTTACGATGGGAGTGTCTAGACACAAAAGATATCGAACGAAACACAGCAAGCAGATTACGGAGTATTTCCAAACTCTAATTAAAACGTCACCTTTTTTGTTGCCATAAAACTAATTTATTTTTTGTCCGCTAACTAGACAAGTAACATTGTCAGGCACACACGTGGTCGTAGGCAAACATTGTTTAACAATAGGCGAATAATTAACTTGGAAAATCCGCACAGGCGTTGTGCAATAAGCGATACCATTAATTTTCATAATAAGTCGGTGTGAGCTGCCAGCCTGGCCCGCGGGCCACGGGAACAATAATATGTGTATCGGCGTAGGCAACAATTCTCAGGCAGAAATACCGTTAAGCAATTTGTAAATCGGATCCTTTAATTTATTGGCACATTTCTAATAACAAACTGTTTGAGTAGTTTCTTTGCGGAAGACATATTTTATTGTAGAAACAATTTGTTTTGATTAATCCATCCGCGATTAAGTAAATGGATACTGGTGTAGCAAAAAAACTCATCAAAGCACATAGTCTTAATGATTCAGTTTTATTGTTTAATTATGTTCAAGATGTAATGGTGTCGCCTGTAGAGGCGGTTTAATAATGTACCTAAAAAACAAAAACGGAACTTAGTACAATCGAATCGATACCTATCTACATAAACTTACAAGTGCTTTAAAATGTATCAAAGATGCTCCACTTTACTGACTCCTACCATATAATGAGCTTGACAGCACTGCTCCCAATATTAAATTTTATTGGGCTTGTAGGTAGATCTTGTCGATCTAATCGTGATCATTGATTTTTTCCGCGGCGTGTCAGGCGCATCGTGCGCTCGTGACCACTGCGTTTGAACTCGACTGTCCCTCTAACGGGACACAATTCAAATTGAAAATAAACTTAATCCGGGATATTAAAGAACCATTCGTCACTGATCAGCAAAAGAGAGTCTAGCTACTGTCGTTTAACGAGGTCGATCTTATTTTGGTTTTGTAAAAAGTTCTGGTAAAAAGTGGAAGAAAGTATCAGATGAAAGAGTTATTATTAAATTATTGCGTCTATTATAGCACGTTCGCGGGTTTTTTAAGTTCAGGATCAACTCGCAGTTAACGGGTCGAGCACGTGACCGATTGTGCATCGATTGATCCGCAAATCGACGTAGGGCGATCAACAAGCGATATGGCGAACACGATCGCCGATCGCGGCGTGACGAGCTCGTCTGCCTAGGGGCGGTAGGAAAAAACTAATCACATTTTTTCTCACCATCAATTCCAGCTAAGATGAAAGCAGCAAAGCAAAATAGCTCTAACGAGAGCATGAATACACAAAAGCCCGCGTGGTTAATTATTCGCAAATTGACATATTAATGTTTTTCTAGTTTATTTTTTAACACGTTGCGTTATCTGGAGTGTAGAGGTCCATAATTAGAAATTCATTTGCGCTGAGCTATCTGCTGTCGTCAGTTTAGATTGCAATCTACCTATTAAGTAGGCAGATTAATTTAATCAGTATGAAAAAGATCTCTAATTAGAAACCATGGTGAAGAAAATTACCTTTTTTAACCAAGCCGGGTCAGGCAACGGTAAATCGGGGAACGCTCTTTTTCTCTCCACATAGTACCAGGGGGCCCTGACGTAGTAGTACCACGATATTACTCGCTCCACGGGGTCCCGGACAACGTTCACGTAGATTGGAGATGGATAGCCGAACCTGGAAATATCAAAATGCTCGATTCAGGTACAGGTAGAAAAATATAATTATGCTAAGCATTATTTGCGTTAATTTTACAACCAGTGATAATGAAATAATAATGAAATCAACGCTAACTCATCTCTCTACGAATCCCTGCTAAGCGTGCGAGCGTTTTACTAATCTACAGGGGGCCTTATTAATTTAATACGGCAAAATCAGCTTCTGTATTTGATCAACGCAATAAACTACCTTCAGTCCTAGATGAGTTCACGCATCATTCCATTGTTGTAGGAACTGCACTTGCACCAAGTTGTGTATTTGTTTGTGGTTAATCAGAAGCAAATTAAATCTAAAGAGTTAGGTAGAGCCTCCTGAATCTAAACTAATCTCTTCAGTTGCACTCTTAGCAGGAAACTAGGGTTCGACTTCAATGTACTGGTTGGCTCTATTTTCAACAACACTTGCTAATATATTCTATAGAGATTAAAGAGTTAGGTCCAGTTGATTATAAATTGGTATCATGATGTATAAGAACAACGGCACAGCCTAGAATGCAGAATACGTTCTTTTTATGACCAAATGCAGACAATAAGCATTCTTTTGAGATCATTAAAACCACAGACAGCATTAAAATCATAAATTCTTTATCAGATCAGTTACTAGAACACCAAAGGAATAAAAAGAGGAATGCAATAATTTTAACGCCGGAACACTCGCGTGACGCGCCCACAGCGATGGCGTTTTACGACTCCGAGCATATCACGAGAGATGTTCGCAATGATAGCAAATAGCTGTAATTTTGATAAAAAAAACTGCAATCTTTTGATGCTCAATGAATCGGGCTGGTCGGTACTTTCACTTGCCCATTGTAGTCAGCACGAGACAGCCAAATTAAGATCCACTTTCTTCGTGTAACACAAACAGGTAATTTCGTTACACATGTCGGTAATCCGCTATTGTCTAATTACATGTAACAAGAAGCATCTCTAATCACCCGTAGCAATTAATGTGCTTTTGATATATTCATCGCGTGGGTTATTACCGGTAACATTTGAGCTGCATGATTGATGCTCGGACCCAATCTCTGGTGTGGATCTTATCACCCATCTCGACAGATTTGCCATTTATTATGTGTGTTCAATACCGCTATCTATTTTGCTTTATGTACGAATAAAAACACATTCTAATTAGATTCCGTTGTAAAATCGATATCGGTTTGACTCCAGGGTTAAATTGGAAAACAAGCTTTCTAACATAAATGCTTTGATTGAATGGTAATTTGCTGATAATTTAGGCATTTAACATGACACCTAACTGTGATTAATGTAGGAAGTAATTACCTTAAGTAAAGAAAACTTAGCTTCTGATCGGAGTTAGTTTAAGTAAATAGTAGAACAATATTAACACATTTTTTTTTGGGGGGCGACAATCAGATGGTCTGTGCATTGGTAGAGGTAAATATCCAGCAGTGTCTGATTTGTCTAACAAAGGATCATATTATGGCGGGTTTTAGAATCGCGCTGACCGCTCGCTGATCGTCGGCGCTGACAGATCAATACAGTATGTATGTAATTGAAGGGAACGTTCCTGAGTGACGCTGATCGCTCGGCGCCAACGCTTCATACATTTCGGCTGTCAGCGCTGACGGTCAGCGTGCGTCAGCGTGACTCTAAAACCAGCCTAAAGGCTGCATTGCTTAGTCAGCTGTCTAACTATGAAGCTGTCACATCAACGAATCTACAGTACAGGGTCAGTGTCTATGCACGCTGTCCTCCAACATTTACGATAATTTATTCACCAATGAATATTGAATCGAAACCACCAGTGGAGTCAAAGTTATAGGCATAAGGCAAAATCCCACGACGAATATTAAGATCTATGTAGAGTTTATATCGCAATAAATGGTCTTTTTCTTAGGTGTAGAATTACAATACAGGCGCATGCGTGGCTTATGCTCATTTTCACCATCAATCCCTAATTTTTAAGTGACCCCTATGAAAACAAAATTCCTGTTATGTATTACCATAGGAATGGCTTAAAAATAGGGATTGATGGTGAAAACGGGCATTAATCTCACGAATGATATTATTTAGAATAGTGACAATACCTAGTGAAGTTAGTGTAGCAGACGTGCTTGATGTAGGAGGCGGGCGGCGCGTGCGCAGCCACCAGCCCCGCCAGCACCTGCTGGTCGGCCGGCGCCAGGCGGATGGTCTCCACGCGCTGCACGGCGTCCCGGTGGAACCCTGGAAAGGTAAAGATTATACGTAACGAGGTAAATATTCCTCGAAACGCATCCATTTTGAGGTGACTTCATGAAATACTTACTTACTATTACCGAAACAATAAATCTGAGAGATGTTGAATGAATTGGAAGCCTTTTTTATTTTGTATAAAAACTTCACATCTAATTACAAAAGTAGGTAGTGTCAAAAAAGTGAACAGAAAAAAACAAGTGACAATCGAAAAAACAAATTCATTAAAAAGTAGTTTCTCGCAGGCCAGGTGAGCGGCCAAGGAGTTAGGTCGTAGGTATGCGACCTTTTACACCTTTTTACTTTTTATAAAAAAAAATTACTAGGCCATCATCAGACATACGTACGAGTACAACCAGTAGGTACAGCCAGTAGGTACAGCCGATCTTAGGTATTTAAGCATATGAGCAAATATTCCTAGTTGAATTATTACCAGGATTTCGAGTTCTGGAATCAGAATCGTGCTTTCATCTACAAACAATTTTTGCCGCTCTCCCATCACATTTCAAGTTTTCATTGCTGTTTACTCTACCGTCTACCTTCCTTCATTCATACAAAAGCGACGTACCAAACTGGTTCCTAATAGCCAGCCGCCTCAGCAGTTCCATGAAGGTCTGGCTGCCGACCTTGGGCACACGGTTGAAGAACAGCAGCTCCATGCCAGCCCGAGCGGTATTGTTGAGCTCCCACGGCTCCGGTACTAGCAGCTCGTCCAGGTACTCCTGGTCAATCTCCTGCTGCGACTCCTCGGGCTCGGCCTCCAGGGTACGCTGCGGTTTGCTGCGCTCCTGGAGAAGAAACGTTTAGCTTTAGGAAGTATTCGAAAACGAGGGCGTAGTTTTAAATAAGTACCTACATAATATTCTCTTTTTCTCATTCATAAAATGCGCTAATATTAGGTACACGATTGTATGTTACCTACCTACCTACAGAACATATAGACGGATTTAGTCATTTCCACCTAATTTTGCCCATAACTTTAACGATAACCGGTGTTTTTTTGTATAGAGTTTGACAGATTTTTGACGTTTGTCAAAGTTAAAGTAAGATGGTGTATCTCAGCATAAAAGTATCTATACTAATTTATGGTTAAACAAACTTACCTTAAGTGAAGTTTGACCGTAATTATACGAGTCGCTGCATCCGAAGAGATTTTCATATTTACCAGGTAGTCCACTTCTCATTGTACTAGGCATCGAACATTTTAGAGCATACAATACAAAAAAGTACTTGATATCCGGCGGTAGTGGGGCACGCTTACGTCACACTCCTCCAACCGTCGAGTCGTCATTCATTTCAGAGTATGATTTCGCTAAAGTTAAGTAAGGGTAAGTTAAGTGTAAACTTAGGGGTAGGGCGGGAATGAAAATCTCTTCGGATGCAGCGACTCGTATAATTACGGTCAAACTTCACTTAAGGTAAGTTTGTTTAACCATAAATTATCAATAGCAATTATGATAGCAATGGACGCACTCACCTTACGACACCGTTTTTCGGACGGGGCGACATAGGTCGCGAAGGGCAGTTGCAGAGCAGCTGAACCACGGCGGGGTCCCACCTGGGCGCACGGGAAGACGACGGGGCGGCGGGGCCAGTGGTCACGGCAGGCGCGCCGTGCGGAGGCACGCAGCGAGTTTTTGTTCTTGTGAACTGTATGTCGGTAGTAATCGCATCACTACTCTAAGAAACTCGTATTTGACCTCAATCGCATCGAGGTTCTTTATTAAGATTTTGGTATTTCGGTAGTAATCGCATCACTACTCTAAGAGATTCGTATTTGACCTCAATCGCATCGAGGTTCTTTATTACGATTTTGGTATTTCGGTAGTAATCGCATCACTACTCTTAGGAAATACATAGATTACCTTAATAGCATTAAGGTAAGATTCCATGAACACGGTATGAACTTCATCACAGCACAACTCACATCACAGCACAACTCAGTGTTAAATTAGGATCCAATATATTACGTACCTATGTACGAGCACAGATTGAACATAGTCGAAAACATTTTGCCATTCCTTTTACAGTTGGGTAAAAACAAAATAATTGTTTTAAATATTCCCCAAACTCATCTGCCTCTCGGTCGGTACACTCTTGCCAGAGTGGTCGTTGTCATCATTGTGATTCACGATGAGTGATGTTTTTTGCAATACGGCGCGATTCCTCGCAGACTGCAGCTTGGCAGGCACTTTCGTTGGCGGAGCACTTACTTGCGGCCTTGATCCGGTCTCCTGATTCCCCAACAGGTAGCCATTATTATCCTCCAAATGTCGCGTCGCTCTAGACGACGTAATAACTGTGTATTTTATCGAAATGTTTACTTTTATGGTCTTTTCACATTTAAACACACACGAAGCACACACTTATTCCAATTTAATTTAATTTAATTTTTGCGGCACGAACGAGAAATTTCGATGTTACGATGCCCGCACTATCGAAGCGAATGACGACTCGACGGTTGGAGGAGTGTGACGTAAGCGTGCCCCACTACCGCCGGATATCAAGTACTTTTTTGTATTGTATGCTCTAAAATGTTCGATGCCTAGTACAATGAGAAGTGGACTACCTGGTAAATATGAAAATCTCGAGGATGCAGCGACGAAGTATAATACATATTATAAAGCAACTACCGGTCCGATTTGAAAAATTCTTTCAGTGTTAGATAGCCCATTTATCGAGGAAGGCTATAGACTATATACCATCACGCTACGAGTAATAGGTGCAAAGCAAAAATGAAAAATGTTGCGAAAACGGGTTTTCACGCGTCGCGGGCACAGCTAGTCTTAAATAAAACAGCAATAGATAAATTAGCTACCAAAAGACTTTCCCCCTTATTACAAAAATTTGAAATTTTTAGATTAAATTATTATGAGAGTAACTTAAAGCATCAATTTTTCGAAATGCTGTCCATTGGAAAAACGAATTGTGGTAAAATCGGTAGCACAACAGAAATAGTTAGCATAATTAATAGAAATCTTAAGAGAATTTTCGCCTATAAATTGCACTTCATCACTTTGCCATTGTTCAAATAAAGCGTTCCAGAAGTTTATGACGCGTTCATATTTACATACAATGAGCGCAGATGTTTGATAACACTTTTTCCCTATAAACCTTTTCTTCACATGTCCTGTGTTAAATTAATTACTAGTATTACAGTACCTCTCTTTGTGTTGCATGCATGCAATAAGACAACAATAGCTCTTAATAGCTGATCAAAGTCAAGTATTTAGGGTTCAATTTCTTGTTAACTACCTACCTAGTGCTTACCTGTTTTATGATGTATAAAGGGGGGCTAGATAACTGCAATACTTAAATTTTCGAAATCAATAAAATTTACAATGCAGGCAGGTGTCTAAGTACTCGTAGCTACGCTGTAAAATAGTAACATATTATGTTCATATTAGATAGAACTCCCATGAAAAAGTTACCAATGCATAGGTACAAGAAAGTAAAAAAGGAGTACTAAATAATACCCGAGAACATTCTACGATGTTCTTTATAATAAATTTCCCTCAATTTAGAAATAATATTTAACCATAGTCTAATCACCATGAAACATCATAGCATTTTTTTGTCTTTTATTAATTATCTAGTTTATTACGAAGTACATCATCGGCCGATTTCATGACAGTAATAATCTAATGTATAGCACAGAAATTACAAACGTGTGTGTTCTAAGATACTAGCTGCTTTGCATAATAATTGTATACCTACAATCTGAAATAATACTTTAACCATAGAGGTTCATCATAGAACATCGATGCAATTTATTTGTTTCAATTAAGTTCCGAGGCAAGATAATAGCAAGCAATCGTTTAACATAGGATCATTAGAAAACTCGATGTAGCCGAAAGCAATTACTTATAAAAATAAAAAATACATAAGAAAGACTAAAGAACTATGTGTTTGTTTGAAAAGTTTACGAAATATCAACGTACTCGTACCATGGTTTATAGGTAATTAAAAAGTTCAACCATAAATCTAAAAATATTATCATAATGCACCTACTTTATCATGGGTGTGTAATGTATGATATAACTACATATCATATAATATTTAGAGGATATAACATCAAATTATATAAAATCGTTTAATATAATAATTATTTACTATAATAAACGAATAATATAATTTTAAAACGAATAATTTTAAGACAAATAACTATTAACTGATATAAAATGGTTTGATATAATGAATATTTTCTATAAAACTTACAATGATACTATTTAAAACAAATAACATTCAAATCATATAAAAATAAAATGTCGAACAATCAAATGAGATAAAATTCTTTTCCTATAAAACTTAAATCATATAACAATAATAATTTTATATAAAGTTCATTTGTTATAATAAGCATTGCATGCAGCAAGCAAGCAAGCAAGCGAGCAAGCAAGCAAGCTAGCATGCAGGCAAGCAAGCAGGCAAGCAAGCTAGCAAGCAGGCAAGCAAGCAGGCAAGCAAGCAAGCAAGCAAGCAGGCAAGCAAGCAAGCAAGCAAGCAAGCAGGCATGCAGGCATGCAGCATGCAAATTTGACTAAAAACTTGAGACTTCTGTCACGGCTCCGGCACTGCGGGGCTCTGGCGGTCCCTCGCGTGCTAATCGTCGCAGATGGCTTTCGCTCGACACCGCGTCTTCGGCTTGCTGGCCGGCTTCGCCGGCCAGCCTCAGCCGCGGCGCCTCGCTTCCAGCCACCTGCTCCTCAGCCCGCGGGCCGCCTCGCCCCTCCGTGCCTACGCGCTTCTAAATTACACTCTAGGGGTAGGGCAGACAAGACTACGTGGAGTCGGTTTTACGGCGATTCGTTTTTGTCACTAAAGTCATTTAGAAGTCAAGCTAAAAAAGAACATAGGTACTTAAAGTTATATCTATCAGAAATTATATCAATTAAAGAGTATAACAAATAATATTTATTACAAGTAATGGTTATGTGAAATAATATTTATATTAAACAAAATTACATCAAATGAGTCTTAGATTAAGTAAGGTTTATATCAAATGTCTTTATGCGTTGTGATTGGTATCTGAAATGATATTATTAGAAATGATTTATTATATGAAGTAAACATTATATGTTAAAAAAATATATCAAGTGTTATTATAACATACGTTTATTATACAATATGAACGTTATTGAAATGAATTTATATCATATAAACTTATATAAACTGTCACGCACCCCTTTATCATACTAAATGAGCCATTAAAAGGTATATCTATAAATCTTCTATGATAAACCCGTAAATCAAAAGAGCTTGTGTATTGTAATATGCTCATTTGCATGCTAGTTAAATATTGTAATTACTGTCACTGAGTATGTACTAATTATTTTGTAATCTCGGTCTAAACAAACGTAAACGAGAAGATTACTTAATTAACGGCTATTCATTAACTATGTCTCGCGTAATTAACAACATATTCTAATATTATCTTATTCTAATTTAAAAACATAATATCTATGTAAGTAGGTAGATTGTAGGGTAGGTCTACTACCTAGTTGGTTTCCATTTCTATTTAGGTAAATGGATATAGTATAACTGATTAACATTCCTAACAGCTATTTTAAGTGAAATATTAAGTTATAAAATATGAATAGATACCTTGATAGAAATGCTTTAGGTTTTGAAACTTAAGCCTTATTTTGTTGATCTTTTTCCAATGGGATTGTGATACTGCAACATTATTTTATGAGCTTTTCCCAAACTTACTGCGCCAGTGTGCCTTCGTATCGCCTCCAAAGCTTCTTTGTACTCCTGCGCGGAAGCGAATGCGGCGTGCTCCGTGCGCTCTGTGGCGGCCCCTGAGGACAAAGGAGAATAATAATCAATAAATTAATGAACATAGGGAAATACTATCGCATACTGGTGCATCTTCAAAATTAAAGTTAAAATAATTAAGAACATGCATTAGCCTAAGCGTGGGCAAATTCAGGATAACCTAACTGCGTAGACACAATAGAAATCAATTGTTACGCAGTCTTATATGACCTCTTGGGGTTTGATTGGCTAATAAACTTTTATTGTTCACTCCTTAAGCTAATATGCTGATCAGTTATAAAAAATTGTAACTTTCATAATTAAACATAAGTTTCACCATCAAACTTAAAAGTTTGAAATATGAATAACTTGAGAAAATAATTAATAATGGATTTTCAGTTTTCAGTAAAACTTAAAGATGATTAAGATACGGTTGTCAACTTCAAAAGATCACGAAGTTGGTGGCTACTAAAAATTAGGGGTTGACAAAGTTCAAAAAGTTTGTTAACCTTAATTTTTTATTAAAAAGTACAAAACCTCTTTCAAATGGGTATTTTCATTAGGAGATGGCTTTTTTAATCAAAATGTAACGCTCCAAAGAGCATGCCAAGTTACTTTCTGCGGTTATTTTTTGCCGCATTCGTGTATATTTGGCATTGAAAAAATCTCAATTCTCGACAATTAGGTATTGTCGTGGCACTCAGTCGTGGCCGGCTGGCTGATGACTCTAGCCTAGAACTAATCGGTCAAACTAAATTACAAGTATCAAATTAAATCTATAAATTCCAAGCCTCAAGCTATTTTTGTAGTTTTTACAACATCATCCTAATGACTAAACACACATTCTTCTCCATTATTACTAATGACTAGGTAGGATCCTGAAATTAAGTGTAATGAATCACTGATACCTAGCAATCGTTGGTATTGCAAAGCATTTGGATATGGGCAAGTTGGTTTTTTCATAACCACACTTTTGTAATGTAAAAACCCATAATACATGGAACTCATCACTGGGTAACTCTTTTGAAACATACTAATACATAGTTGAGCGTGAGAAATTTGTATGGGTTAAAATTAGGTATTGGTATTGTGAGTAGATTTTAATACTTTATCCTATGCTCGATCACAGATAAGTTGCCAAGAAGTGTAATATTTAGAGTAGTACAAGAAACGCAATCAAAATAAAAAAAAAACCAAATTAACTACTAAGACTTTAATTCAGTTATTTCCGCTCAGCGGGGACAATCGTGTAATTAGTTTTAAATTAATTAAAAAAACTTACTTTATACCTCATTCGGTTAAATTCAATGCTGAAACTATCTATTATAAAATTCATTCATGTAGCTTTCCCTCCAGGCTAATAAATAAGGTAGTGAGCCAATAATTTTAATCTTGTCCGATTCATAGAGCAGTACCTACTGACGTTTCATAAATAAATTAAACCCACAGTGACAAACAGTAGTGGAGGCGTAGTGGCCATTATTATTCCCTTTAATATTGTTCCTTATGTTTATGCAGTTAAAGGTTTTATAGCTTAGCTTCCGCGAGTTTTCGCCAGTTGCTTATTAAAGCTACGAGTAACTTATTCACTATAAATCAAGACTGGTTTCATTGGCCATTGATTTATGTTCCATATGGTCCGAACGAATAAAACTATTCTGATTTAGTTCCTCTGTGATTTAGGATTCCGGGTGAAGCCCGCTTCCACCCGGCCTGATCATCACTTTTCTTCAGGTGAGATGCAGACTGCAAGAAATGGATTTTTTCCTGGCGGCTTGGTGACTGGAATTGAACCGCCACCGGTGCAGACGGAGAAGATGGTGAGTTGTCTGCACGTGAAAAAGAGGTTGTCCGGCTTGCAGAAATTTATATAAGTTACCGTTCCTTGTGTTGTAATTAGAAAATGTAAATAAAACAGCTCCCTCTCAATTGACACAATTTATTTTTATCTCGTATGCTCCTATATAGTTAACAATTACGATATTATAATAACTACTGTAATAGTGCCAATCTCAAGGGATTCAGGGTCGTTAATTAGGTTCGGTTTGGTGAATATTATTGCCACTACAAATTTCTTAAAACTCAGCCTAAATATTAAAGGACTCTACTAGTTAAGATAACTGCGCGATGTCAGGTCGGAAAGACTCCTACTTGAAGGATGGAAAAGTGGGTACCTTGGAAGCCATGCGGTTATAAGCCGTTACCCTGAACGTTCCTCTCTTCTTCCGGGGTCCAACGGGTCTCGTTGTCCGGCTTGCAGAAATTTATATAAGTTACCGTTCCTTGTGTTGTAATTAGAAAATGTAAATAAAACAGCTCCCTCTCAATTGACACAATTTATTTTTATCTCGTATGCTCCTATATAGTTAACAATTACGATATTATAATAACTACTGTAATAGTGCCAATCTCAAGGGATTCAGGGTCGTTAATTAGGTTCGGTTTGGTGAATATTATTGCCACTACAAATTTCTTAAAACTCAGCCTAAATATTAAAGGACTCTACTAGTTAAGATAACTGCGCGATGTCAGGTCGGAAAGACTCCTACTTGAAGGATGGAAAAGTGGGTACCTTGGAAGCCATGCGGTTATAAGCCGTTACCCTGAACGTTCCTCTCTTCTTCCGGGGTCCAACGGGTCTCGCACACTTTTAGGTTACAAGCAGCGTCCTCCACGGCCTCAAGCGCGCAGTGCCAGATGAAGCTCCTGCATCTCCTCGACAGGAAAGCGTTCAAACTCTTGCAGAGACAGAGGTTTGATGACAAGGAGGAAATGCGAAGAGATCAGCAGTTTAGAAAGGAGAAATAATTTATACGAAATGATATAAACTGTTTGAACTACAAAATATTGTAAAATATATGAAATTTATGAAATATAAAATTTGAAATTTGAAATGTTTGAACTATAAACATTTGTAAAATCTGAAATTTGAAATATAAAATTCCCGCATCTGAAACGAAAAACACGAGTGTCAGGATCACATGTGGAACGTGGCATTAGGTTATGAAAAAAAACCGCAATGGGAAAGAAATACTTACGAAGACCGTTCGCTAATCTGAGCTTCACTCACAGTCTTCAGCATCCCAATACCCTCAACCGAACAGGATTTAGGGAATTTCTGAAAGAAACGATCACATTGAAATACCACGTACTGGAATACGAAAATTATCAATCACGAAAAATAAATAAATTCTCCGACGGGAACTTACCTCATGTGTGATCATTTTAAAAATATATTAAGAAATTATCGTGGATGCATTCCGCATCACACGATTTAAAACAAAAGGGGATTACATCCCCGAAAACAATAAAATTGCGGTTGCGCAAGATCGACCAAAATTCCAAAGTGATTTGACAGCTCAACTGACAGCCTGCGAGTCATCGACATCGCAAGACGTTTCGTTTCGCCGCTTAGGTAAAAAGCAAATACTAATAAAAACCATGATGAAAACAATCTCCTGAACACTGAAAATATTCTATTAAAAAATAGAATAATCAAAACAAAAACATTAGGAAATGTTTCAATAAAATATATTTGAATTGACCGAGCAAAAAGCGCCATCTATTGCAAATTAATTCAAAATCACGCCAATAGATGTCGCCAGTGGTATCCTAAATCCAAATATCGAGAAGAAATATCAATTTGTGAAAACAGCCAAAACTGCAACGCTACAAGACCGAAGCTTCTCCGTTAAAAATAATATCTGAAATATTTTTGGGGAGGGTTCCTTACTCCTATTTGCGTTTAAAGTTTAAAAAAGGCACAGTTCACCGAGGTCATGTTCAGGAAATGTTTTTGTAGAATCTCTTGTAGATAATGTTGTGGTGTCAAAGTTATACAACCAAAATAAGCCCGCGCGAGGTCCGGTTCCGCACGAGCGTCCCAATCGTCTCTCGCGAATCTGTAATAGGCCTTTATTGTGCTTTGAGCCGTTTAGGTTCGGTACACTTACGTTAAAAAATACATGTTGTGTTCCAAATGTACTTGCAGGTATAAAATGCATAATAAAACGTTAATCTCATATTGAAATATGTTTTGAAGCAGTGCGCAGTAGCACAGACGTATCAAACGAAAATAAGCTAATAGGATATGTTTGGAATTATTGGCGAAGGTATGTAGGTACGTACTCACCTGAATGCTTTCCTCAATAGGTATGCTAAATTATACCTATTGAGAAAAGCATTTAGGTCAGTGTAGTACCTAAGTACCTACATTCCTACGCAATAAAGATTAACTACCCGTTGATGCGTTTAAATGAATGATGAGATACATATAAATGATGATTTTCAGACTATACTACAATTGAATTTAAACAAGTAAGTAAGTAATCTAGTTTATCTTACAATCTCCTGGATGGTACACAATACGGTTTGATCAAGGAAAGTGTGAGGTGGCGTGAAATTTGAACTTTCGCTCGCAAGAAATCCTTGAGATTTGGGTTAATCGCCTTTTGTATTCAAATGGAAAATAAAAGACGACGCGTTGTTTAAAATTTAAAATTGAAATTATACAGCTACACAAATGTTTTACACGTATACATACACTTTACACACCTATAAATAATACTACAGGTAATACCATCCAAGAGTGGTCATCTAAACCTAGTTTCAGCTAACGTAAATACAAGTTCATTTGTTACCATCAGTCCGGCCTCAGGGAATGGTACAACGATTGATGGACCATAGCCGTAGGTGGCGAATGATGGGACATTAACGAGAACAAACCGATACCTACTCTAAACACCACAAGATTACCTAATGCCGTTGATTGATGATATTTTAAACCTATATCACTCTTGTAAAGCTTCCTTCGTTTGAATTTTAATTATGCGAATTATTCAGTCAAATGACTCAACCTCTACAGGCCGTGTCATCATCTTCGTTTATTGATCGTGGAAATAAGGTGTAATTTGTCAGCAATTTGCAAGTTCCATATTCATTATTCACTCTAGATTTTCATAAAAGCATCCGATCGGACGGATTGCGGCAAGAAACGGGGCAAAAACACCCACTCACCATTACAGTGTAGACTGTACTAATAAGCCGTTTCT